ACACACACAGATAGGCACACACAGATTAGACACACAGACACACAGATAGACACAACACAGATTAGACGCAGATAGACACACAGATAGACACAAAGACACAAAGATTCGACACACAGATAGACACAACAACAGATAGACACACACACACAGACACACACATAGTGACACAGATAGACACACACAGATAGACACACACACAGATAGACACACACAGATAGACACACACATAGTGACACACAGATAGACACACACACATAGACACACACAGATAGACACACACATAGTGACACAGATTACACACAGAGATAGACACAACAACAGATATACACAGATTAGACACACAGACACACATATAGACACACAGATTAGACACACAGATAGACACAACAACAGATAGACACACACACAGACACACACAGTGACACACACCAATAGATACACAGACACACACACAGATTAGACACACAGACACACACAGATAGACACACACAGACACACACACATAGTGACACACAGATAGACACACACACAGATAGACACACAGACACACACAGATAGACACACACAGACACACACACATAGTGACACACAGACACACACACATAGTGACACACAGATAGACACACACGCAGATAGACACACAGATACACAGAGATAGACACACACAGACACACACACACATAGTGACACACAGATAGACACACACACAGATAGACACACACAGACACACACACATAGTGACACACAGATAGACACACACACAGATAGACACACAGATACACGCATAGACACACACAGACACACACACATAGTGACACACAGATAGACACACACACACAGATAGACACACAAATACACAGAGATAGACACACACAGATAGACACACACAGATAGACACACACATAGTGACACACAGATTACACACACAGATAGACACACACATATAGGCACACAGATACACACATATAGACACACAGATAGACACACACATAGTGACACACAGATAGACACACACATAGTGACACACACATAGTGACACACAGATAGACACACAGACACACACATAGTGACACACAGACACACACACATAGTGACACACAGATAGACACACACACAGATAGACGCACAGATACACAGAGATAGACACAAACAGACACACACACATAGTGACACACAGATAGACACACACACAGATAGATACACACAGATAGACACACACAGACACACACACAGTGACACACAGATATACACACACACAGATAGACACACAGACACACGCAGATAGACACACACAGACACACACACATAGTGACACACAGATAGACACACACACAGATAGACACACAAATACACAGAGATAGACACACACACAGATAGACACACACAGATATACACACACATAGTGACACACAGATTACACACACAGATAGACACACACATATAGGCACACAGATAGACACACACAAATTAGACACACAGATAGACACATACATATAGGCACACAGATACACACATATAGACACACAGATAGACACACACATAGTGACACACAGATAGACACACACAGATAGACACACACATAGTGACACACAGATTACACACAGACACACACATAGTGACACACAGACACACACAGATAGACACACAGACACACACATAGTGACACACAGACACACACAGATAGACACACACAGATTACACACACAGACACACACATAGTGACACACACAGATAGACACACAGACACAGATAGACACACAGATAGACACACACATATAGACACAGATAGACACACACAGACACAGATAGACACACACACACAAATAGACACACAGACACACACACACACAGATAGACACACAGACACACACACAGATAGACACACACAGATGGACACAACACAACACAAATATACACGCACATATAGACACACAGATAGACACACACACAGATAGACACAACACAACAGATTAGACACACAGAGAGACACACAGACAGACATAAAGAGACACTCACATAGTGACACACACATAGTGACACACAGATAGACACACACACATAGACACACACAGACACACACATAGTGACACAGATAGACACACACACACATAGTGACTCAGATAGACACACACACAGATAGACACACACAGATAGACACACAGACACACAGATAGACACACACAGTGACACACACATATAGACACACAGACACACACAGTGACACACACACAGATAGACACACACACAGTCACACACATATAGACACACAGACACACACATAGTGACACACAGATAGACACACACATAGTGACACACACAGATAGACACACAGACACACACACATAGTGACACACAGATAGACACACACACACAGACACACACATAGTGACACACAGATAGACACACACAGATAGACACACACAGATAGACACACACATAGTGACACACAGATAGACACACACAGATAGACACACACATAGTGACACACAGATAGACACACACAGATAGACACACACATAGTGACACACAGATAGACACACACAGACACACAGATAGACACACACACAGATAGATACACACAGATAGACACACACCGATAGATACACAGACACACACAGATTAGACACACAGATAGACACACACATAGTGACACACAGATAGACACACACCGATAGATACACAGACACACACAGATTAGACACACAGATTAGACACACACAGATAGACACACAGACACACACAGATTAGACACACAGATAAACACACACCAATAGATACACAGACACACACAGATTAGACACACAGATAGACACACACCGATAGATACACAGACACACACAGATTAGACACACAGATAGATACACAGACACACACAGATTAGACACACAGATAGACACACCGATAGATACACAGACACACACAGATAGACACACACAGATAGATACACAGACACACACAGATTAGACACACAGATAGACACACAGATAGATACACAGACACACACAGATTAGACACACAGATAGACACACACCGATAGATACACAGACACACAGATAGACATACACAGATAGACACACAGATAGACACACACCGATAGATACACAGACACACACAGACAGACACACACAGATTAGACACACATATAGACACACACATAGTGACACACATATAGACACACACATATAGACACACACATACTGACACACATATAGACACACACACATAGACACACACATAGTGACACACATATAGACACACACACATATAGACACACACATAGTGACACACATATAGACACACACATAGTGACACACATATAGACACACACATATAAACACACACATAGTGACACACATATAGACACACACATAGTGACACACATATAGACACACACACATATAGACACACACATAGTGACACACATATAGACACACACACATATAGACACACACATAGTGACACACATATAGACACACACAGATAGACACACACAGATTAGACACACAGATAGACACACACCGATACACAGACACACACAGATTAGACACACACACAGATAGACACACACAGATTAGACAGACACACACAGATAGACACACAGATAGACACACAGACACACAGATAGACACACACAGATAGATACACACAGATAGACACACACCGATAGATACACACACACATATAGACACACAGATAGACACACACAGATTAGACACACAGCTAGACACACACATAGTGACACACATATAGACACACACATATAGACACACACAGATAGACACACACAGATAGACACGACACATATCGTCTGTGTCTGTGTGTGTGTTAGTAACCGGGGGGGGAGAGATGAACATTATTCTCTTAACGAAACATTTTAACAATTAAGAACTGTTTTTTTCGTTCAATCAACAATTTTATTTACAATTTAATAAGAAAAGCAGCGAATTGAATTGACCCTTAACGAAACGGCGTTCAAAAGCGGCGATTTTATTTTTTTGTTAAATGAATCTCCTTATCTTTTATTTAATTCTCCCCCTTCTCAGCACACATCAGACACGCGCCTTTAATCGTTAACACAAAGAAGCAACGAAATGTTTAACACTTTGGGGGGGGGGGGGTTTAATTTAGAATGTGTGTAAAGTCTGAGGCCTAGTTCAGGCTGAAGCCTGAGCTAGGCCTCAACTGGGGGAGGAGGGAGGGGCGGTGAAGGGGGGGGAGAAACCGGAACCCCTCCCCCCTCCATAGGGAAGCATGGGGAGGGATGGGGGGGTCAACCGGAAGCCCTCCCCCTTCTTAAGGAAGTATGGGGGGGGGGGACGGTTGGGGGGTTTGAGGGGAGGGGTTGGGGGGGGTTGAGGGGAGGGGTTGAGGGGAGGGGCTGGGGGGTTGAGGGGACGGTTGGGGGGTTTGAGGGGAGGGGTTGGGGGGTGAGGGGAGGGGCTGGGGGGGTTTGAGTGGACGGTTGGGGGGTGAGGGGAGGGGTTGGGGGTGAGGGGAGGGTTGAGGGGAGGGGTTGGGGGGGATTGGGGGGGTTGAGGGGAGGGGTTGGGGGGAGGGGTTGGGACGGTTGGGGGGGTTGAGGGGAGCGGTTGGGGTGTGAGGGGAGGGGTTGGGGGGGTTGAGGGGAGGGGTTGGGGGGGGTGAGGGGGTTGAGGGGAGGGGTTGGGGGGGGATTGGGGGTGTGAGGGGAGGGGTTGCGGGGAGGGGTTGAGGGTGAGGTTGGTGGCGAGCCGCATCACGTGGGACTTGACCCCGGTTGGGAGCGCGTCACGTGTGCTCGCGCCGACCAATGAGAACCCCGCATTAGCTAGGCCCCGCCCCCCTTCCCCCACCACCACCACCACCCACCCACCCCCCACCCACCCACCCCCCCACTCGTAGTTCAGCGGCGAGCTCAGCTCCACGGGCGATGAGGTGGAGTGGTGGTGGTGGTTGTGGTTGTTGTTGTGTTGTTGTTGTTGTTGTGGTTGTTGTTGTGGTTGTTGTTGAGGGCTACTCACGTTCGCCTCATGGTCTATGGCGCGGAGCAGCTGCGACTTGAGCTGCTTCGCCGAGCGCGACATCGGTGGAAGGCGCGCGGAGGGGCGGAGGCCACGCCCACAGCCAACCCCAGCAAGACACGCCCACAGCCAACCCCCCAGCAAGACACGCCCACAGCCAACCCCCCAGCAAGACACGCCCACAGCCAACCCCCCAGCAAGACACGCCCACAGCCAACCCCCCAGCAAGACACGCCCACAGCCAACCCCCCAGCAAGACACGCCCACAGCCAACCCCCCAGCAAGACACGCCCACAGCCAACCCCCCAGCAAGACACGCCCACAGCCAACCCCCCAGCAAGACACGCCCACAGCCAACCCCCCAGCAAGACACGCCCACAGCCAACCCCCCAGCAAGACACGCCCACAGCCAACCCCCCAGCAAGACACGCCCACAGCCAACCCCCCAGCAAGACACGCCCACAGCCAACCCCCCAGCAAGACGACACGCCCACAGCCAACCCCAGCAAGACACGCCCACAGCCAACCCCCCAGCAAGACACGCCCACAGCCAACCCCCCAGCAAGACACGCCCACAGCCAACCCCCCCAGCAAGACACGCCCACAGCCAACCCCCCAGCAAGACACGCCCACAGCCAACCCCCCAGCAAGACACGCCCACAGCCAACCCCCCAGCAAGACACGCCCACAGCCAACCCCCCAGCAAGACGACACGCCCACAGCCAACCCCAGCAAGACACGCCCACAGCCAACCCCCCAGCAAGACACGCCCACAGCCAACCCCCCAGCAAGACACGCCCACAGCCAACCCCCCAGCAAGACACGCCCACAGCCAACCCCCCAGCAAGACACGCCCACAGCCAACCCCCCAGCAAGACACGCCCACAGCCAACCCCCCAGCAAGACGACACGCCCACAGCCAACCCCAGCAAGACACGCCCACAGCCAACCCCCCAGCAAGACACGCCCACAGCCAACCCCCCAGCAAGACACGCCCACAGCCAACCCCCCAGCAAGACACGCCCACAGCCAACCCCCCAGCAAGACACGCCCACAGCCAACCCCCCAGCAAGACACGCCCACAGCCAACCCCCCAGCAAGACACGCCCACAGCCAACCCCCCAGCAAGACACCGCCCACAGCCAACCCCCCAGCAAGACACGCCCACAGCCAACCCCCCAGCAAGACACGCCCACAGCCAACCCCCCAGCAAGACACGCCCACAGCCAACCCCCAGCAAGACACGCCCACAGCCAACCCCCCAGCAAGACACGCCCACAGCCAACCCCCCAGCAAGACACGCCCACAGCCAACCCCCAGCAAGACGACACGCCCACAGCCAACCCCCCAGCAAGACACGCCCACAGCCAACCCCCCAGCAAGACACGCCCACAGCCAACCCCCCAGCAAGACACGCCCACAGCCAACCCCCCAGCAAGACACGCCCACAGCCAACCCCCCAGCAAGACACGCCCACAGCCAACCCCCCAGCAAGACACGCCCACAGCCAACCCCCCAGCAAGACACGCCCACAGCCAACCCCCCAGCAAGACACGCCCACAGCCAACCCCCAGCAAGACACGCCCACAGCCAACCCCCCAGCAAGACACGCCCACAGCCAACCCCCCAGCAAGACACGCCCACAGCCAACCCCCCAGCAAGACACGCCCACAGCCAACCCCCCAGCAAGACACGCCCACAGCCAACCCCCCAGCAAGACACGCCCACAGCCAACCCCCCAGCAAGACACGCCCACAGCCAACCCCCCAGCAAGACACGCCCACAGCCAACCCCCCAGCAAGACACGCCCACAGCCAACCCCCAGCAAGACACGCCCACAGCCAACCCCCCAGCAAGACACGCCCACAGCCAACCCCCCAGCAAGACACGCCCACAGCCAACCCCCCAGCAAGACACGCCCACAGCCAACCCCCCAGCAAGACGACACGCCCACAGCCAACCCCCAGCAAGACACGCCCACAGCCAACCCCCCAGCAAGACACGCCCACAGCCAACCCCCCAGCAAGACACGCCCACAGCCAACCCCCCAGCAAGACACGCCCACAGCCAACCCCCCAGCAAGACACGCCCACAGCCAACCCCCCAGCAAGACACGCCCACAGCCAACCCCCCAGCAAGACACGCCCACAGCCAACCCCCCCGCAAGACACGCCCACAGCCAACCCCCCAGCAAGACACGCCCACAGCCAACCCCAGCAAGACACGCCCACAGCCAACCCCCCAGCAAGACACGCCCACAGCCAACCCCCCAGCAAGACACGCCCACAGCCAACCCCCCAGCAAGACACGCCACAGCCAACCCCCCAGCAAGACACGCCCACAGCCAACCCCCCAGCAAGACACGCCCACAGCCAACCCCCCAGCAAGACACGCCACAGCCAACCCCCCAGCAAGACACGCCCACAGCCAACCCCCCAGCAAGACACGCCCACAGCCAACCCCCCAGCAAGACACTCCCACCAGCCAACCCCCCAGCAAGGACACGCCCACAGCCAACCCCCAGCAAGACACGCCCACAGCCAACCCCCCAGCAAGACACGCCCACAGCCAACCCCCCCAGCAAGACACGCCCACAGCCAACCCCCCAGCAAGACACGCCCACAGCCAACCCCCAGCAAGACATGCCCACAGCCAACCCCCCAGCAAGACACGCCACAGCCAACCCCCCAGCAAGACACGCCCACAGCCAACCCCCAGCAAGACACGCCCACAGCCAACCCCCCAGCAAGACACGCCCACAGCCAACCCCCAGCAAGACACGCCCACAGCCAACCCCCCAGCAAGACACGCCCACAGCCAACCCCCAGCAAGACGACACGCCCACAGCCAACCCCCAGCAAGACACGCCCACAGCCAACCCCCCAGCAAGACACGCCCACAGCCAACCCCCCAGCAAGACACGCCCACAGCCAACCCCCCAGCAAGACACGCCCACAGCAACCCCCCAGCAAGACACGCCCACAGCCAACCCCCCAGCAAGACACGCCCACAGCCAACCCCCCAGCAGACGACGCCCACAGCCAACCCCCAGCAAGACGACACGCCCACAGCCAACCCCAGCAAGACACGCCCACAAGCCAACCCCCCAGCAAGACACGCCCACAGCCAACCCCCCAGCAAGACACGCCCACAGCCAACCCCCCAGCAAGACACGCCCACAGCCAACCCCCGCAGCAAGACACGCCCACAGCCAAACCCCCCAGCAAGACACGCCCACAGCCAACCCCCCAGCAAGACGACACGCCCACATCCAACCCCCAAGCAAGACACGCCCACAGCCAACCCCCCAGCAAGACACGCCCACAGCCAACCCCCCAGCAAGGACACGCCCACAGCCAACCCCCCAGCAAGACACGCCCACAGCCAACCCCCCAGCAAGACACGCCCCCAGCCAACCCCCCAGCAAGACACGCCCACAGCCAACCCCCCAGCAAGACACGCCCACAGCCAACCCCCCAGCAAGACACGCCCACAGCCAACCCCCAGCAAGACACGCCCACAGCCAACCCCCAGCAAGACACGCCCACAGCCAACCCCCCAGCAAGACACGCCCACAGCCAACCCCCCAGCAAGACACGCCCACAGCCAACCCCCAGCAAGACACGCCCACAGCCAACCCCCCAGCAAGACACGCCCACAGCCAACCCCCCAGCAAGACGACACGCCCACAGCCAACCCCAGCAAGACACGCCCACAGCCAACCCCCCAGCAAGACACGCCCACAGCCAACCCCCCAGCAAGACACGCCCACAGCCAACCCCCCAGCAAGACACGCCCACAGCCAACCCCCCAGCAAGACACGCCCACAGCCCAACCCCCCAGCAAGACACGCCCACAGCCAACCCCCCAGCAAGACACGCCCACAGCCAACCCCCCAGCAAGACACGCCCACAGCCAACCCCAGCAAGACACGCCCACAGCCAACCCCCAGCAAGACACGCCCACAGCCAAACCCCCCAGCAAGACAACGCCCACAGCCAACCCCCAGCAAGACACGCCCAGCCAACCCCAGCAAGACACGCCCACAGCCAACCCCCCAGCAAGACACGCCCACAGCCAACCCCCAGCAAGACACGCCCACAGCCAACCCCCCAGCAAGACACCGCCCACAGCCAACCCCCCAGCAAGACACGCCCACAGCCAACCCCCCAGCAAGACACGCCCACAGCCAACCCCCAGCAAGACACGCCCACAGCCACACCCCCCAGCAAGACACGCCCACAGCCAACCCCCCAGCAAGCCACGCCACAGCCAACCCCCCAGCAAGACCACGCCCACAGCCAACCCCAGCAAGACACGCCCACAGCCAACCCCCAGCAAGACACGCCCACAGCCAACCCCCCAGCAAGACACGCCCACAGCCAACCCCCCAGCAAGACACGCCACAGCCAACCCCCCAGCAAGACACGCCCACAGCCAACCCCCCAGCAAGACACGCCCACAGCCAACCCCCCAGCAAGACACGCCCACAGCCAACCCCCCAGCAAGACACGCCCACAGCCAACCCCCCAGCAAGACACGCCCACAGCCAACCCCCAGCAAGACACGCCCACAGCCAACCCCCAGCAAGACACGCCCACAGCCAACCCCCCAGCAAGACACGCCCACAGCCAACCCCCAGCAAGACACGCCCACAGCCAACCCCCAGCAAGACACGCCCACAGCCAACCCCCCAGCAAGACACGCCCACAGCCAACCCCCCAGCAAGACACGCCCACAGCCAACCCCCCAGCAAGACACGCCCACAGCCAACCCCCCAGCAAGACACGCCCACAGCCAACCCCCAGCAAGACACGCCACAGCCAACCCCCCAGCAAGACACGCCCACAGCCAACCCCCCAGCAAGACACGCCCACAGCAACCCCCCAGCAAGACACGCCCACAGCCAACCCCCAGCAAGACACGCCCACAGCCAACCCCCCAGCAAGACACGCCCACAGCCAACCCCCAGCAAGACACGCCCACAGCCAACCCCCAGCAAGACACGCCCACAGCCAACCCCCCAGCAAGACACGCCCACAGCCAACCCCCCAGCAAGACACGCCACAGCCAACCCCCAGCAAGACACGCCCACAGCCAACCCCAGCAAGACACGCCCACAGCCAACCCCCCAGCAAGACACGCCCACA